TAGGGATGGGAGGATTACTGAAAAACGACAATTGTCAAGCAAATTTTCAGCGATACGGATGTAAATGATCGCTTTGATAAAAGAATCTGGGTGTCGGTCTCTCAAGATTTTAGTAAGAAAAGGATCATGAAAAGTATGTTGGAGCAATTAGGATATCAAGGTAGTTTTTTGAATGATTTGAGTTGGATGATGCGGAAACTTAATGAATTAATAGTTAAGGATAAGTCGTATCTCCTTATTATGGATGATGTTTGGACCATGAAATTGGAGTGGTGGAATGAAATTTGCTCTTGTCTAAAACAATCATCTGATAGAAACAACTGTATCATAATCACGAGTAGAAAAAAGAAGGTTATAGTTGCCATGGGACACGATAGTTCACACATTTATCGGCCACCATATTTAGATGAAAATCAAAGCTGGTCTTTATTATGCAAGGTAGTATTCTCCGCAAACAAGGGTGAATGCCCGAGCGATCAACTGAAAGAAATAGGCATGGAGATACTCAAGAAATGTAAAGGGCTTCCCTTAGCAATCAAGGCAATTGGAGGATTACTAGCTTCAAAAGGATTCTACCCAATTGAATGGGAAAACATTAACAATAATTTCCATGAGTTGACGATGGAGGAAGATAATGAAACTAGTTTTGTAATGGCTTCTTTGCAGCTTAGCTACAAAGATCTCCCCAGTCATCTTAAACAATGTCTCTTATGTTTCTCCATCTACCCAGAAGACTATATCATAAATGCTGAAAAATTAGTTCACTGGTGGGTTGCACAAGGCCTCGTCCACATAATATTAATAGAGATTCTCTTAGTATCTCTGTTACAGAACTGGGTTTTAAGTATTTATCAGAACTTATTAGCAGATGCTTGGTTGAAGTAGCAGGGCCAGACATGGATGGCAAGATCTACAATTGTCGGGTGCATGATCTGGTACGTGATCTTCTTATTATGACTGTACAAGATGAGGGACTAGGCAACTTCGACGAGAAGGGTAAGCAGAAGCCCACAGCAGATACTCTATGGTTGGGTCTTTCAAGTGAAATTGTAGAGGGAAAATCACTAACAACTAGTCCAAAGCTACGAGCACTGGTATTAATGAAAAGTGGGAGTAAACTTCATGTTGACAAAAAAGTTACAACGCGGTATCTCAACTCCATCAGAGTCTTGGATCTGTCTAAAATTGAACTAGACACTTCACAAGAAGATCTTTTTGATTGGCTGAGTTGCCTTAAACGTCTGGCATGTTTGAACCTTAGTGGAGTTACAGGCCTGAAAGAGTTACCATCTTCAGTTGAGAAACTCCTTAACCTCCAAATCTTGGTTCTAAATGGATGCACTAGTTTATCCAAAGTGCACCCATCAATCACTAATCTGAAAAGGTTGATCATTTTGGATCTTGGATCTTGTCCTCTCCTCAAATCTCTGCCACAAGGAATAGAAAAGCTAGTTCGTCTCCAAGAACTGTCTGGACTGAGGTTGGTGAAGCAAGACGACAACAAAAGCTGCAAGCTGACTGAATTGGGGAAGCTGATGGATCTGAGAGTGCTACGCATAAACATCTGCAGGGAGACTGAAATTTCAGAGAATGAATTGGAATTGTTGTCACAACTCAAGAAGCTCAAGGTTTTATCGATTGACACTGAGGACTGCACAGATCACGAGATTTCAGAGGCTTTGGGTTTGCTTTATCCTCCCCAGTTCCTTGATGAGCTATACTTGAAGGTTTATGGTTCTAGGTTTATGCCAGTATGGGTAAATCCAGTGCAACTCCCAAGGTTGCGGTATCTTCATTTGGAAAAAGTCGAATTCCATCTTTTTGAGATG